CACAAAATCATCATAGCTGAGAAAATTAGTAATAAAGCCTTTCCTTAACATTCCATGGCCGTGTCCCCTCCCCTCCTCTTCCGGGGTCCTTTCTCTCACTTTGCTACTAAACTCATTGAAAGAGGGGTCACCAAGCTCCCATTTCCACTCCACACACTGACGCCTCAACTCATCACTCCTTCCCTCTCGCTCGCTTAGAAACCATTCAGTCCTGGGTGCCAGAGGCCTCCTGTTGTCAAGTCCCTGCTGCTGCTGGTGGGGTCTCCCAGGCCTTGAATCCTATGAACCTGCACCCATCACTGCAGACCCCCAGCCTCGACCTCAGGACCACCTGTCTGCTGGTTCTCCTTCCTCCTTGCCCACTGACCATCTCCGCTTTCCTCCGCAGCCATGCCTCTTGCCCCATGTCCAGATGTGGGCCCAGATGTGCTCTCCTGCCCCTCTGCACACAGCAGCTCGATGTCTCCCCTGCAGCCCAGTCTAACATATGACCTCTTCCATGAACCCCAAAGGACTAGAGGGTCAGAATGCTTCCAGTGGCCCAGGACTGAAAACTTGGGACCATTCTTTTGTTTCTAAATGAAATATTCCAACCAAAAAAGGGTCCAGGGTATAGAATGAACTGCTGTGTTCTCACCACCCAGCTCAAGTGTTCCCATCACTCACCTTCCAGCACGTGTCCCCACCACCCAGCTCAAGTGTTCTCATCACCCACCACCGAGCATGTGTCCCCACCACCCAGCTCAAGTGTTCCCACCACCCAGCTAGTGTTCCCACCACCCAGCTCAAGTGTTCCCACCACCCAACTAGTGTCCCCACCACCCAGCTCAAGAATGAACCATATTGATGTACTCAAAGCCCCTCACGCTTCCTTATCATATCCCCTCTCCCCCCAGAGGCAGCCCCATCCTGAGGTGGTCATTGATCACTCCTACAAATTCTTTAAACGTTTGCTACATGTGTATGTGCCCTTACAAGGTACGTGGCATCATTATGCGAGTTCTCAGGCATTATGTAAATGGTGACACTTTCTATGTATCCTTCTTCCCTTCATTTCCCCCTTAAGTTCACCTGCTGATACAAGTAGCTCCTGTGTGTTCATTTTCTCAGCAGTACAACATTCCATTGTAAAAATGTGCTTCTTGGGGTGCGATTGTATATGTAAATATGTTTGTAACTATGTGTTCTCCCAGGAATAGGCATTTAGGATTCTCCAGTTGCTGTCATTCTTGACCCCTCTTCTCTCATGCAGCCACCTAGTCCCATTTTCTACTCAGTTATTCAAAAAAAGCTTCTGATATAATTCTCCAAAGCAAGTTCCCTATCTAGGATTTTATCATCTGTCACCTGGACGATCTGTCACCTAACTGGCACCCGCAGGCCCAGTGTGCCACGGGGCCTTTCTCCCCTCAGCAACCTTCGCTCCCACCCTGCACTCGGCCCCTCCTGAGCCCAGGGAGCAGCTGGTATGGTGGTTCCAGGTCCGCGATCAGGAGGGGCGCTGGGCCCTCCCGGGAGGAGCCTTCTAGTCTGATCCAGGAGCTCCAGAGGACTCGTGCTCTGGCCACCTCTATGCTGTCCTGTGAATCCAGCCCAACTTCCAAAGGCTGCCGGCCAGCCCCCCAATACCCCCCACCCTTCCCAGCCCCTCTTGCCTGGGACAGAGGGCCTTTCAGCCATGGCTGCCACCAGCATCACCTTCTCAGGAGGGGCTGTTTTTCTAAACTTTTGATCCTGAGGTGGAGACAGACTGCAGGTGTGGAGGGGCCTGGGCCTGCGTGATGGGGTGTCGCTGCGGCTACGTGTGGTATGGGCCCCTGCCCTTGGTGGACCTCTTGGCGTAAACATAGCTGAGTAGCAGCCTGTGTGTGTCCGTGTGTCTGCCGGTGCTCAGGTGTGTGTGTGTGTGAGTGTGTGTGTGCGTGGAGTTGCTGTGACTTCCCCCCTCACACAAGGGCCTCTTTGTCTTCCCTGCCCTGACTCCCTTTTCCATCAGAAGGCCCGTTTGATTATTTTTATAGGGTGTCTCAGCCTTTTTTCTCCAGTTCCCTGTCCCCCAGTGACTATTCTAAGTCCTAACTTACCTCCGTCTGCCTAGAGGAGAAGGCAGCGGGGACCTGAAGCCAGGGCCTGACTCCTGGCTCGGAGGCGCTCTGTGCCTCTGTTTCCCCAGTGGGAGTCTCCAAAAAAAAAAAAAAAAAAAAGATGGGAGAAGGCCAGAGTGGTGTCCCTAAGACGCTGAGACTAGGCCACCGAGCCTCCCTCCTCCTTCCCACCGGACACCCATAGCTTCCCAACCTGAAGGCTTCATCTGTGAGCGCTTTGATCCCGGTCTGCCTCCTCGTCTGTAAAATGGGGATAATAACAGGATCTAACTCAGAGCTGTGAGGATCAGATGGACTGTGACGCTCTAGACTAGTGTGTGCTCCACCATAAACGCTCGTTAAGCGTAATTACTACCATCGCAGACCCTTAGGAGCCCTTCGCTGTGCCCAGCGCACGCACCAGAGCGGCTTCCCTGCAGACACCCCCTCCTCCCTCCCCTCCTCCTGCTTCTGTGTAGGATGCTCCATAGGTCACAAGGTGGAGGGGTCTGGGGAGCCATTTCTGCACTGGGATAGAGGCTGCTTTCCCGGACGTGGGGTCAAAGGACGGCTGTTCTCCAGGGAAGTTGAGCCCCTCCTCCCACACCTCCACCCCCACCCCCATCCTCCCGTTGGGCAAGTTCCTCCAAAGGAGAAGCACTAGGTCGGCTTTGTCTAGAGCGCCCTCTGCTGGCTGTTGGCAGAAGGCCTTGGGCAAGGGTGGGCACCAGTTTCTGAAAGTGAGGAAAAGGGGATTTCTGCCCAATACAGAGCCCAGTGTGCTACCTACTCACCCTCAGAATGTCTGCTTGGAGTCCTGCCCCCCCCCCTTTTTTGCCAACCTGAGGACAGTTGGTTCCTAAGATAGCTTCCCTCTCCCCCTCAGGGCAGAAATGTTAAGGGCAGGACAAGCGGCCAGCCACAGCCTGCGTGTGCCCTGGTGTGCCTGCCGGTGCAGACTATCCCAATAGCTGCGGATAACAGTAGGGAGGAGGGAGGCTAGACAGCATGCAGAACTTCCGGACAGCAAAGCATGAGTAGAGAGCGGGGGAAGTTCTTATTTAGAAGGTAGTATGGGGGCCGTGCCCCGCATAGAACCTGTCGGATCAGTAAGAAAATTGTCTGCAAGCCCCCACGCTCAGAGTGTGGCCACAGCAGGCTCCTGTGTCTTATATTCAAGACCCTCTCTTCTGCCAAAGCCCAGCACAGACCTCCACCCACGTCCCAATGCACCGACCAGGCATTTGGGAGGAATAAAAAATCAAAACAAAAACTCTAGTTGGAGCAGGAGAAACTGCAGTTAGACTGCGGGGAGAACTGTCCCAAGTGAGGCTGAGGGTAGCCTCCTCCCTTCGTCTCTGCGGCCAGCCTGCGGAGCGGCCTTTTTCTTCCAGGGTGGAGTAAGGGAGCTGGGAGCCTGGATGCTCTGGGGTTTGCCAGGGGGCTGGTGGGCCCCGGAGGGGCGGGGCAGTCGCAGTGAAATCGGGGTGATGGCTGCATCACATTGTGGAGAATGCCGCTGTCCAGGCTGCACGCAGCCGGTTGTATGTGCAGGGCCGGCAGCCTTCACGGAGGCAGAGCACTGCACAGCGCTGCTGCCTTGGTGTTTGGGGGGCTGGCTGCAGCGGGCGGGGACTCCGAGGCCCCGGGACGAAGGGACATCTCTAGGGGGCTCCAGGCAGTGCCCAGAGGCTCAGGGCCGGGTGGAGGCAGAGGGGATGGGGTGAGACAGCGAAGAGGGGAGTGAGAGGGCCTGAAGCGGAAGCTGGCGGAGAGGACAAGACAGGCCTGGGACAGAGGTCGCCGACTCACACTCCAGGCCCTACCGCCCCTGTCCTGCCCCACTGCTCCCCAACTTTGACTTTTGGAAAGTTCCAGCAGTTTGGGGATGTGTGGGAAGGCGAGTGGTTCCAGTTCTGCTTTCTCCACACCCTTCCTCCACCCTCCCCACCTCCCCGGGCACAGCTGACCCTGGAGGAACACGGGTTTGAACTCGACTCATTCGTGTCTCAGCACCCAGGCGGCCCTCCTGTGCACCTGTGGATTCAGCCAAATGCGGATGCAGAGGGCGGACTGCGCGCGCTGGGTACTGTTCTACGTCACTGTACATGCGGGGCGTGAGCATCCATGGACTTTAACATCCGTGATGCTCCTGAACCACTACCTGCTGGCACCTGGGATGACTGAGGTTCGGGGGTCAAGTTACACATGGGTTTTCAACGGTGTGGGGGTCAGCGCCACGAACCCCCACATTTCCCAAGGGCCCACTGCACACTCCTTCCTGGGCGCTGCCTAAGGAGAGAGGTGTGGGGGACCCTTCCTTGGGGTGTCAGTACTCACCTTTGGTTTCAGCAGCTTGAACCGATGCCTCTTTTCCTTCTCTCCCCCAACTGCCCAGGGTCCCCTTTCCACGGTCAGAATAACCCCTTTCCCGACCCTGCGCCCACCCACCAGCGCTGACTCTGCACACACGGGCACGCACGCATCCAACCGCCCCACCCAGCTCAGTGCCACCCCACACACGACGCAGGCAGCCTCCACGAAGCCATGGCGGACCGGCCCAGGGCGCCGGGCGGATGTCTCCAAGGGCAGCGCCCAGGGAAAGGTGCTGCGGCGGGACTCCAGGCTGCAAACACCCGGCAGGAGCTTGTATTTCAAACCTGGGAAGCCACTGGGGGAGCGTGACTTTGGGAGAAGAGAATGACGGGAGCATCTGGCTGGAAAGAAAACCCCGGGGACGCCCAGATGGGGCGTGGAGGCGGGGGCAGGGGAAGGCCCTGTGGGAAGGTGGCTGGCTGGTGCCCATGCCCAAGCCCGCTCAGGGCCCCTGGTGTCCAGCTGGTGCCCTCTGCCCCCCAGAGCAGAGAAACTCCCCACTTGAATGCCCCCCTCACCTGGCGACACACAAGGGCCCGGTGTATAGAGGACGTTTAATATTTCTGTGCTGGTCAAACGAAACACAGGTGGGGAGTACACGGGGCGGGGGCGGCGGGCCCCTGCCTGTCGGGAGGGGTGCTGTGAAGGGGTGCATGTGGGGATTTCTTGGGAAATAGTCCAAGGAGTCTTCTCAGCAAAGGGGCCTGGCCTGGGTGTTGCGAGCGTCCAGCACACCCAGTCCTCGGCCTCGGTCGGGGACCCCCATAGGGGGTCTGTGGGGAGTGTCCCGTGTTCCAGCTCCTCGGCTGGAATCCACACTCCCAGCGTGACGGGGACTTGGTCCTAAAGAGGGGTCTGGAGAGCCCCCAGGAAGCAGTCCAGGGGCGGACCAGGGCTCTGCGCCCAGTGCCCGAGGGGATGCGGGGCCAAGGGCGGCCCTCCTCCCCCCTGCCCTCTCCTTCTCCCAGGCCGGGCATGAGCAGAGGGGAGGGGAGCAGGGCCCCAGCCCCTGCCGAGTCCCAGGGTCCTCAGGGTGGGTGGGGAAGGGGTGGAGGGAGAGGGTCTTGGCCACCAACAGACACTGTAAACTTTGGTTTAAAACAATAACTTAAGTGGAGGGAGGCTCCCAGCCTGGGGCTGGGTGGGGAGCAGAGGAGCAGGGGGTGGAGGAGGCGACAAAGGAAAAAGCCAACAAAAAGTTTTGGTTTTTGCTTCTGGCATAAGAAAGGTCTTTGGTCATCCGTTTAACTGGGGGGAAGGGGAGGGGTGCCGAGGGAGGGCAAGGGAGGGCTGCAAGGGGGCCCTGGAGGCTGGGGCGGGGTGACCTGCTGGGTCCCAGCAGCCGCCAAACTAACCCCACCAGTCAGTCCCGTGACAGGCGGCGGGCACCACGTCAGCCCCGACGCCAGCCTCCGGGATGGCTGGGCTCCCTTCCTGGGCCCCGCGTCCAGAAGTCCGCCTGGCAGGGACTCTCCGGGGGCGGCACGGGGCACGGGGCCTCTTCCTGTGCTCCCTGGATGGCGGGCGGGCGGCCAGCAATGGGCAGAGGCCAGTCAGCCTGGGTCCCAGTTCAGGTCAGGAGGAGGGGCTACAGCCAGTGGCCCTGCTCCCAGGGGCCCCGCAGGGCCCAGCTGTGGCTCCGGGTGGGCGTGCGAGGGGCTGGTTTCTTCTGGGGGTGGTTGGCAACTTCAGTTCCTCCGCCCGGCCAGGGCGGGGTGGGCATGAGGGTGGAGAAGTTTTTCTTCACAGTATGGAGAAGGTGGGGGGAGCACAGATGAGGGAAGTGCGGGCCTCTGGCTAGAAGAACGCCGCCAGCGCCAGGTGCGAGGGGCCCTGGGTCTGGGGTGGCTCGCCCCGCCTGCGGGTCTCCGTGTGGCTGCAGGCCCTGTCGGGAGAGCTGGTGGGGGAGGAGGGCGCTGCTGCTGCTGCTGCTGGTGGCGGGGAGGGTGTGAGGAGGGGCCTGGGCCCTCCGTGTCCTCTGCGGTCCCAGATCAGGGGTTCTGTTTCCCCTTGGGGGGGCGGGACGTCCCTGCCCAGTGTCTGTCAGTCAGGCCACACTGGGAGTTGCTGGCCCAGCCCCCATCTGAGTCCTGGAAGTGCCTTGAGGTTTGGGCGGGGCTGTGGAGTGGGGGTAAGAGGGGCCTGGGTTCCAGGAGGGGTCTCACCCCGTCCTGCCTGCCCCTCGAGGCCCTTAGGAGAGTTCCTCTCCAGGCAGCTCCTCCTCCAGGTCCCTGTCCTCGGCAGGCCCCGCGGCGCTGGGGTTGGGGGGTCCCAGCGGGGGTCCGGGCCTCCTGTCCTCCTCGGCCTCGGCGGGCTCCTCTTTCACCTGCACCTGGTGGCTGTGGCAGAGGGACCGTGTGGGCACCTGGTGGCCTTCCCCTCCTCCCCCTGAAAACTCACCCAGAATTTTAGGGCACAGCGGGCTGGCCACAGCTCTTCCCCACCCTTGAGCCACTGGGGATGGATGTCAAAGGAAAGGGAGAGAAGAGAATAAGGGAGAGAGGGAGAGGGAGAGGGGGAGAGAGGATGTGGGGGAGGGGGGGGAGGGCAGGAGGCGAGAGGGGGGGAAGGAGAGGGCCAGCAGGAAGGGAGAGGCCCCGTGGAGGACAAGACCTGGTCCCCCCTGCGGGGAGAAGGCTCCCTCCCTGACTTCTATGGGCACTGGGGTGGGGTCCACGCTGTGTGCTCACCTGTACTGGGGTGGGGAGAGGCGAGGTGGGGTGCTGCTGCCATTGCTGGGGAGCGGCTCCCCGGGGGCACCCCCGTCGTCATGGCTGAGGGGCAGGAGGCTGCTGGCGGAGCCGGGGTTCAGCATGCCAGGGCTGTTGAGGAGGGGGAAGCTGCTCTCGGCCAGGGCAGCCTGCAGGGCACAGGGCGGCCCTGTCAGTGGGCTGCACTCAGCAGGGTGCTGTCACTTCCTCACCCCTACAGGGCCTCGAAGCCTGTGTCAGAGCTGGCCCCCTG